AAAAAAAAAAAAAAAAAACAAAAAAACCACCACCACCACTACCACACACACAGAACAACAAAAAATGAAACTGGCACCCTAATATAAGAAAAATAAATTGTATTAATTGATTTACTAATGTTGCCAAATTACATACATAACTGCCAATCAGCTTGCGTCTTAGCTGGAGGATGGGTAAAAAAATTTAAGTTCCATATGTGCAATTTTAAGCCTTCAATCCGTACCTCTTTTTTGGGATGTGATGTGTTGTCATTGGGTGTTTTGTTTAGATTTGTGGATATATAAGTTCCTAACTGGAAGAACCTCTTCAGGAGTACAAACAAGCAATTTGTGGCGAGTATTTGTAATCAGAATTTTGAAAATGGCTGCAACAGAAGAGAACAGTGCACTCTTCCCAATTTTTATCTTAACTATAATGGCTCTGCCTTTGGTGCCTTACACAATAATCAAGTTATGTCGTGCGGTCACCACGAAGGCAACAAGCATCAACTGTCAGTGTTCTGTTTGCTTCCGTTCAGGGAAGTATCGCAAATCCATGTTTAAACGTGTAATGTCCCTTTCCAACTTGGTTTGCACATATACCACGAATATGCTTTCATTTTAGTTTTTTTGTCAATCTTTTCAGGTTTCAAACTTTTCAACANGTCCAACTTGGTATTTGTTAAACTTGGTTTGCACATATACCACAAATATGCTTTCATTTTAGTTTTTTTGTCAATCTTTTCAGGTTTCAAACTTTTCAACATACAGTAACCTGACTCTTGTATTGCTTTGGGTCATCATGGCAGTTCTTGTTTATTACATCAAACACATTAGCCAAGAGGTAACCAGCATATCATTTCTTGCTACTCTGTCATTCACGTTTGCTTTGGTAGAATATAGTACACTATCACGTTAGTGTTGTCGGTGATAATGTAAGCATGCTACTAGGGACACTTTTGCTTGAAAATAGGAGTGCTGTCAGCAGTATGATAATGTCTTTGTGGTACTAACATTGAGCGTGGGGGTTTTTGGATATATCACCTGAAGTTATACAAGAGAGGATATGNCATTCAGATCTCTTAAAATTTATAGATATATAATACTTACATATTTCAAGTTTAATATATTATATTTAGATAAAAAATATTTTAATCAAAGATATAATATTAAATATTTTAAATATTATAACCAAAATTTATTATCTATTATATCATTTATTGACATTAAATAAAAAATAAAGTTAATTTTTTCTCAAAAAATCATAATTAGTATACAATTATATTATCTACTAGAATAAAACTAAAAAAATCAAATAAGGGGTTTAAGTCATTCATACCAAAACATGAATTTTACAAACTAAAATTTATGTTCTATTATGTCATTTATTAAAATAAAATAAAAAGTCATAATTAGTATATAATTATACTATTTTTTAGAGTAAAATTAAAAATTTAAACAAGGGGTCAAACTATAATGGACACAATATATTCTAGATTTAATTGGGATAATTGGTCTTTTAAATGACCAAAATAAATTCTAATAGATAGTATAATTATATACTAATTATGATTTTTTTTTTAAAAAAGTATATTTTTATTTTTAATTTTATTTTAATAAATTTCATAATAGAATATGAATTTTAGTTGTAAAATTTTAAAATATTTAATATTTTATTTTTAATTAAAATATTTTTTATTTAAATATAATATTTTAAACTTAAACGTTCTAATTACAATACAAATTACAAGCGATTTTGATGTAATTTATTAATCGACAACAGATGTATATGGGTTACGCGTACAAACCTCGAAGGTCCGTGGATAATATTTAAAATGTCAAGGTTTGAATAATTAAACGACAAAATCCTCATAATTTCAGTGTAATTCTCCCCAACTCATAAGGCACTTCTGAAACTCCAGGGTTCATTTTGTTGGGACGGAAGGCCTGTAACTGACAGGCCTCCATCTGTAACGGAGCACGTACAGTTCTCCGTAAGCTTTCCGGCGTGATATCCGGTGAGGTAAGTCCTCAGCTTCGATCTTTCTTACTGCTTTCGTATTTGAATTAAAGGACTTTAGCCAATTCGAATCCAATTCAATTAGACATATACACATATATGTATGACTTGGAAATTGCGTTTTTCTCAATAAATTTATTGTGATCACTTTGTACCATTCGGTTTCGTTTCTGATAGGTCATCTCTGATCAGTTAGTATCGCTTGACGTAAATGATTTTTTTAATTGATTTGTGCTTGTATTTGGTCATTGTATTTAGTGCCTGCTTCTGTTCCAAATGAAAAAAGATTTTGTACCAGCGTCTGCAAATAAAGAAGTGTGCAAGTAAAACAGAGGTCAAGATAGTTTATCACATGTGATTATATATTAAAAATAATCTTATTTTTCTGTTTTGTTTTACGACATTCCAATTTATTGCCATTAAGCTAGAAATCTAGTATTTCTTATGAGAACCATGTGGGTGATGAATCAGTGACTGTCATATATCTCCAAAATTGATCACACTTTGCAGTAGAAAGTTCTTTAGGTTCAATTTTGATTGGGATCTAAAGCAACCGAAGGTATTTCACATCCTGAGTTGCAGTTGATTGTGGGTTCATGTTTCTGTCACCATTTTTGTTCGTATATCTAACAACTCTCCCCCCCCCCCCCCCCCCCCCCCCCCCAAAAAAAAAAAAAAAAAAACAAAAAAACCACCACCACCACTACCACACACACAGAACAACAAAAAATGAAACTGGCACCCTAATATAAGAAAAATAAATTGTATTAATTGATTTACTAATGTTGCCAAATTACATACATAACTGCTAATCAGCTTGCGTCTTAGCTGGAGGATGGGTAAAAAAATTTAAGTTCCATATGTGCAATTTTAAGCCTTCAATCCGTACCTCTTTTTTGGGATGTGATGTGTTGTCATTGGGTGTTTTGTTTAGATTTGTGGATATATAAGTTCCTAACTGGAAGAACCTCTTCAGGAGTACAAACAAGCAATTTGTGGCGAGTATTTGTAATCAGAATTTTGAAAATGGCTGCAACAGAAGAGAACAGTGCACTCTTCCCAATTTTTATCTTAACTATAATGGCTCTGCCTTTGGTGCCTTACACAATAATCAAGTTATGTCGTGCGGTCACCAAGAAGGCAACAAGCATCAACTGTCAGTGTTCTGTTTGCTTCCGTTCAGGGAAGTATCGCAAATCCATGTTTAAACGTGTAATGTCCCTGTCCAACTTGGTATTTGTTAAACTTGGTTTGCACATATACCACAAATATGCTTTCATTTTAGTTTTTTTGTCAATCTTTTCAGGTTTCAAACTTTTCAACATACAGTAACCTGACTCTTGTATTGCTTTGGGTCATCATGGCAGTTCTTGTTTATTACATCAAACACATTAGCCAAGAGGTAACCAGCATATCATTTCTTGCTACTCTGTCATTCACGTTTGCTTTGGTAGAATATAGTACACTATCACGTTAGTGTTGTCGGTGATAATGTAAGCATGCTACTAGGGACACTTTTGCTTGAAAATAGGAGTGCTGTCAGCTGTATGATAATGTCTTTGTGGTACTAACATTGAGCGTGGGGGTTTTTGGATATATCACCTGAAGTTATACAAGAGAGGATATGCTTGCCTTTTATACTCATAGCATTCATCTCTGGTACTCTATTGGATAAGTATAATAATTGTATCAGTAGATATATCTTGAAATCCTATCAATTATGTGATATTATATGAATAGTTGTATAAAACTAGACTATAGTTACACAGTAATTAGAATAGTTCATCTATTGTCAAGCTCTTTTGTGGTTCTGTGTGAAGGCTGTAAAGAGCCTGTCGATAAAATCATTGTCATTGACATATCCCATTTTTTTGTTTCTTTTAAATTTCTTACACTCCTCCTTGTACTTGAACACAGTCACTTATTCGTCAGATTATGTAATTGAACACATTTGCTTATTCTTCAGATTCAAGTATTTGAGCCATTTAGTATTCTTGGATTGGAATCTGGAGCTTCGGATTCAGAAATAAAGAAGGCATATAGGAGACTTTCTATTCAATACCATCCTGATAAAAATCCAGATCCAGGTTGAAGGTGTTCTGACTTCTGAGTGTGCATCTTATGTGTCGTTTTTCGATCAAAATAAGAAGAAACCTGATGGTTTTTGGCAGTGGATGCACTTTATAACTCATTACCCTTTTGCTCGCAGAGGCCCACAAATATTTTGTGGAATTCATATCAAAAGCTTATCAGGCTCTAACAGACCCAATATCTCGCGAGAACTTTGAAAAATATGGACATCCAGATGGAAGGCAGGTAGTATGTCTTTTAGCACAAGAGAGGAAGGAATCATCCATTTGCTTTGTTTTTTCCGTTCAAAACATGAAACTTGACTTCAGACAAAGTTAACCTGATTCTAAATGAAATTTATATTTCTGTTCTGAGCAGGGGCTTCAAATGGGCATAGCCCTGCCTCAATTCCTTCTAAACATTGATGGACCATCTGGCGGAATACTGTTACTTGGGATTGTAGGAGTTTGTATTATTTTGCCCTTGATGATAGCTGTTATTTATTTGTCAAGATCTGCAAAATATAGTGGGAATTATGTCATGCATCAGACATTGTCTGCATATTACTACTTCATGAAGCCTTCTCTAGCCCCAAGGTATGCCATTTCTTTTGATCGGCTGTGTTTTGAGGTCATAACATGATTAATGTACTTGTCGTAATTGGGAAGTCAATTGCTAGATTGCAGTTGCTAGACTTATAGAAACATCTGATCAGAATGCACTTTCGCTTTTTTCTACCTGATGGTAGAGAAGAGTGGATGCCTTTTCTTTACGCATATGCTTTATCGTAAAGAGCCTCAACAGAAGCCTGAAAGCATTCACAATTCTTTATTGATGGCTCATACACATGCACACATGCGCCTAATAGGGCTTATACTTTATTGGAATTTTATTTGTTACTTCACACGCTGAAGTTAAAAAATGGAAGAAAAAAAACTGTTTATTTTCTTTATGGTGCTATAGAATTTGTGCAGGCTATATAATAGATAGTTTTNGTTGGAATTTTATTTGTTACTTCACACGCTGAAGTTAAAAAATGGAAGAAAAAAAATTGTTTATTTTCTTTATGGTGCTATAGAATTTGTGCAGGCTATATAATAGATAGTTTTACTCAAACAGCAGGTACTCTTTTGTTCTTCTTTGTGCTTATCCCTGATATGATGTTAATGATACAGCAAGGTCATGGATGTCTTCATAAAGGCTGCCGAATACATGGAAATTCCAGTGCGTCGGACTGATGAAGAACCTTTGCAGAAACTCTTTGTGTTGGTGAGGAGCGAGTTGAATCTGGACCTTAAGAACATTAAGCAAGAACAAGCTAAGTTTTGGAAGCAGCATCCTACCTTAGTAAAGGTGAGATGCATGCCATCGTTAACTAGGTCAAGAATCCCATTTTTTAGGGTTAATGTTTGACTCTTTTAATTTACCATTTTTACTGTTTTTTTCCATGCAGACAGAATTGTTGACTCAAGTGCAATTGACCCGTGAGTCGGCTGCTCTATCTCCATCTTTGCAGCGTGATTATAGGCGTGTGCTTGAACTTGCACCTCGCCTTCTTGAAGAGTTAATGAAAGTAATTTTATTTCTGAGCCACTGCATAGACTTCAGTTGTTATTTTATGGTCATCAGCAGAAATGGTTGAAGTTAACTGCCTTGTGCCCTCATTCTTGAGTTTTGTGGAATTATTGGTTATGATGTATTCATTGTGGTTGTTAGTAACCTTACCTTATTATTTAACAAGATCAATTGAAGCTCCGCTGACATTTAGAAAGATTGAATCCTCACTGTTTTCCTGTCACTAACTTACCAACTGAGCTGGTTCCCATTTCTTTTTGAGCTATCATGGTTTTTTATTTATTTGCTATGCCTAACTTACACTCATTTCTACCTAGAGTGCAATCATGTGAAATGAACTGAGCTAGTTTGGGCAGCTCAAGCTATAGCCTACTGACAGATTGTTTGAGCCCATATTTTACAAGAACGAAGTCAACCTCAATCTATCCATTAAGCTTGTTTGTCAAAGGAACCCAGCTTGGCTCCATTATAACCAGTATATAGTCAGGAAACTATAATATGTATTGTTATTGGCGCTTAGATTGATGGCAACTTTAGGTGCAAAGTGATTTTTCTTGGAAAATGGCATTTGTCTTGTGAGAAGACAGTCTCACAGTGATATATGATTCTAAATTCCGTGAAAGCTTGATAAACTATCTTGCCGTGACTTAGTCCTTTAGAGGTTGAGGAATGTCTAGATCTTTGTTCATACTACCTGGCTCAGGTAATTACAGTGACCAAGCTTGTTTATTTATATACCATCTACTCGCTGTGGAGTTGGTATTTACCTGCTTAGAGTTTTTGTCATGACTTCTGAATTTCAATAGCATCTTGTCATTGGAATTGAGAATTATCTGGCATGTACATGTCAAAGCTGAGAAAAAAACTGTTTGAAATGCCAAACTGTGTTTGTTGCAATACTTGTCATGACTTCTCAATTTCAGTAACATCATGTCATTTGAATTGAGAATTATCTGGCATGTTGCATGTCAAAGCTGAGCTAAAGCTGGTTGAAATGCCAAATTTATGTTTGAATAAATGATTGTAGCTTAATTTCTGTCTGCCGGAGCTTAAGCTCAACCTTTCTTCACCTGAGCTGGCTTTGGACAACCTAGGAATCTTGAAACAGGTTTGATTGCTCACTTGCTTTATTGCCTTGCACCACCCCAGCCCTGTCCTTTGATCCAATCCCGGCCCCTTAGAAGTTGGTCCAACATTGAGAATTTTTAGAAACTTGGGGATTTCATATAAGATTTACCCCGAGAAGTAGATAATGGCATGCAATTCTAGTTCATGAGAAATGTAGGTCTCCATCCCCTTTTTCCTTCCCTCACCTTATGCGACCAGGACTGGTCAGTTATATATGTTTTATTTTGTGCTCCCTCATACTTAGGGATGCAAAACAACCCTATCAATTTGAGTTCAGATCATGATTTACTTAGTTAGAGGTTCGTTTGATATTGCTCGGAAGATAAACAAACCAAGCTTGGACTCATATTTAAAGCTGATTGAGTTCAACTTGCTATGCCATCAAGCATTCTATGCTATATGAAAAACCAATCTATTTGGGCGCAAGTTTTGAACCGTGCAGTTGAAAGCTTGCTAAAGATCTACTCACTAGGGAAGTGANTTCAACTTGCTATGCCATCAAGCATTCTATGCTATATGAAAAACCAATCTATTTGGGCACAAGTTTTGAACCGTGCAGTTGAAAGCTTGCTAAAGATCTACTCACTAGGGAAGTGAGCCAAGTATTAGCTTCATTTGGAGCTCGTTAAATATAGATGCTTGAGCAACCCATTACTTAGTTTGAGTTGACTCATTTACAATCCAAAAAATGGTTGCCTCTTATGTTTTAACACGTTAGCTTACTCAATTATTTCTGCTGTATCTGTTCCCCTGCTTCCTAGACGTGGTAATACTTGTATGTCTTTGTATGCACAGATGGCAACTGTACCACGCAATCCACAGGGACATGGATGGTTGAGACCTGCGGTTGGGGTGGTTGAGCTATCTCAAAGTTTTATTCAGGTTTTATTTCATTTTAGCATCATTTAAAGATACGCATACACATTTGGCAATGAACATCTAAGAGGATTCCTTGCATTTATGTGATAATTCTATTACATTTTTGTATTTTTTGCTTCATTTTGATACACACTTAACTGCAAAGTATGTTTATTCACATTCATCCTTCAAAATTTTAGAGAGAGTAAGGATAATCAATGGGAAAAAGAATTTTTTGCACAATAGGATTTTAGGTCATGGTCAGTAAGTGGATTTGTGAACCATGTGAAGACAAAGGCAATGCATCTTCTTTAGGCTCAACTAATAGCATATGATGGTTGGTGTGCCAGTTGTAGGTCATAATCCCTAAAAATGGAATGGAGGTCAAGGGTCTTGAAATAGAGAAAATAAAGAGACAAGAGACGAAAGGCAGTGGTATAAACCATGAGGTCTAAGTCAATTTAGTATAATTTTTCATATTCATGATCATTAAAGAGTTGTCTCGCTCGATATCAGCAACTAGGATCTTCAAGGCAATGCCAATTGAAGAAGAAGAAGTGCCGAGTGAAATGACTTTTGGGTATTTATACACCGGAGTACATAGGTGCCTTTCAGTGTGAGATGGGAGGAAAGCAGGTCATCATCTGTACCAGTGACCGATCTTATGTTAGTTTATTGTTGCATTGGTTTTCATAAGCATTTGGAATGTCTTTATTTTTAGTGCATCAAAAGGGGTATCATCTATGTGTCTTTAAAAATTAGGCTTTTTCAGTTTTTAATGTCATTTTTGTTCACATATAAAAGTAATGGGGGCTTTTGTCTAATACGAGGTGGGGGGATAAGAGTTGTCACTATAGAAAAGGAAAATTAATGACTATAAGGAACTTAAACAACCTATACTCTCCCCACTTAATCAGCATTTGATTATCCAAACCCGGGCAATCTTAGTTATTGGTGGGGGTTCGGTGAGTTAGTCGGTATTTGTTTAGTCAATCAGATAGTAACTGACTATTTTATAGCTATGTATCATACACTTCATGTGGATATAGCTTTCAAGAGCATAGAACACATCAAGACATCCCAAATGGCAACTCATTTTACACGATAGAAACCTTCATTCCATGGTAAAAAAGCACCCCCCATTGACCCTTTTGTTTGAAACGGATTGGTGATGGGCTACTTGTTACTCTTTCGTTTCTTGCGACAGCGCTGGCTGGTTTATGTATGCAGGAAAGCATGTCCCTAGGAATGATGTGGTGTTCTTTATATCATTTCCTGGCCTATACTTCTCTCAAATTGATTCCCTCTGCTTCCATTTCATGAAATTTGGGCTTATTCATTTGTTTGAAAATCTTTGGAGCCTGTGATTTGGCTTTTACATACTAGACTCCAGATATTGTTGTTATTCCTTTATTGAGTCATGGATTTTATTCATGCTTTCAGCTGTACTGTAAGCTGCTACTTATCTTGAAAATACTGTGATGCAGGCAGTTCCACTAAGTGCAAGAAAAGCAGCAGGAGGATCCAGTGAAGGGTTTGCTCCCTTTCTGCAGCTGCCACACTTCAGTGAAGCTGTTGTCAAAAAAATTGCGAGAAAGGTCAAGAAATGTTTTCTTCTTCTTCTCCTCTATCTCTCTCTCGTTGCTTTAATTTGTCGCCTGCATTATGGCTTTTGCATTGCAACCTTGCATTCACCATCCAGTTGTCCTTCAGAAGAAGTGCACCGGCGCTCAGTTTGAACTAGGAGGCACGGACAAGTTGGGGACACAGCTTGAGACACACGGGACACGGCCAACACAATTGGAGGACACGTTTTGAGATATTTTTTTCAAATTTTTGAAAACTTTTCAAATAACTTTATAATGTAGGAAGTTATTTTTGTAATTTTAAAGAGACATGAGTCAAAGTCATAATATAAAAAGAGTTATAGTCACTACATGAACATAGGACATAGGTATAACATAATTTCAAACACGAAAACAAACTTACATACAAATAGAATAAACTTTTAATATGAAAATAATGTGATGAAAAATGGAGTTACAAAATTGGGGGTTTTTGAAATTGATGAAAATTAGTAGTACGAAGTGGACTATTTTTGGAATGGAAATTGTATTAGTTATTTATTGTTGGATCATGGATGTTAATGATGAATGTGTATCGGCATTTCTTATATTGAATTTTTTATGCTAGGATATCATGGTGTGAATAACTAGAATTAGGGAACGAATGAATTGAGAGATTATTANATTGGATCATGGATGTTAATGATGAATGTGTATCGGCATTTCTTATATTGAATTTTTTATGCCAGGATATCATGGTGTGAATAACTAGAATTAGGGAACGAATGAATTGAGAGATTATTACATAATATTTAACGTGCCCCTAATGTGTCCATGTTCTACTTTTTAAAAAAAATTTGCATTGGCGTTTCCGTGTCTTACTTTTTTGAAAAATTTCATGTTCGTGTCATGTCATATTCATGTCCATGCTTCTTAGGTTTGAAACTATATTATTTTAATCCCGGTTGTTGCTTCCAAAGGAGGATACCGAAGTCGTCGATACCTGTTCACTAATGCTTGATTTATGCAGCGATATCATGATGTGAATAATTAGAATTAGGGAACAAATGAATTGAAAGATTATTACATAATATTTAATGTGCCCCCAATGTGTCCATGTTTTACTTTTTTTAAAAATTTCGCGTGGGCGTTTCTGTGTACTACTTTTTTAAAAAATTTCATGTTCATGCCATGTCATATTCATGTCCATGCTTCTTACGTTTGAAACTATATTATTTTAATCCCTGTTGCTGCTTCCAAAGGAGGATTCCAAAGTCGTCGGTAGTTGTTCACCAATGCTTATTTATCAGATAATTATGTACGAAACTAGGCACATAGCTTNAAACAATTTCGCGTGGGCGTTTCCGTGTACTACTTTTTAAAAAAATTTCATGTTCATGCCATGTCATATTCATGTCCATGCTTCTTACGTTTGAAACTATATTATTTTAATCCCTGTTGCTGCTTCCAAAGGAGGATTCCAAAGTCGTCGGTAGTTGTTCACCAATGCTTATTTATCAGATAATTATGTACGAAACTAGGCACATAGCTTCGTCGAACATTGATGTTTGATTACATTCAGTTAATCTACATATCTGAAAGAAAAACTTGATACACAGTATACTTGATGATGCCAAACTTTATATGATATATAGGTTCATAGTCAGAGTAACTTTACACCTAGTATAGTAGAGCCATGTGGCTTCATTCTAAACAGTACCCAATGTTAACATTTAGAGAAGAAAGAGCATGCTTCAACATAGAAAAATTACCCTCTGGTTGTGTGTTTGAAATCACGAGTAAGTTCAGTAAAAAGAATATCTGCATTTTATAATGGTGAATTCTTGGTTCTTTGTTTGTACTTTTTTTTTTCTCGATCCTGTTTGTGTTGATTGAATGTCGATGCCAATCTTGTTCATGTTATATCCATAAAACACCACTAGCGATATTTTTTGCTGGTTGGTGTCATCTCACCATGAACCTCAGATACTCCAGCCTATCTTACTCTTGGCCTTCTTTTGCTGTCTTTATATAGATGTTCCTAAAGAATTTCTAGTTTTTGTGCATGTGTGCAGAAAGTGCGCACATTTCAAGAGCTTCGAGACATGACATCACAAGAGCGTGAAGAACTGCTGACTCAAGTTGCTGGGTTCTCTCCTGCTGAAACCCAAGATGTGGAGATTGTTCTCGAAATGATGCCTTCTATAACAATTGATATCTCATGCGAGACTGAAGGTGAAGAGGGAATACAAGAGGGTGACGTTGTCACGATGCATGCTTGGATCACTCTGAAGCGTGGGAATGGCTTGATTGGTGCCCTTCCACATGCTCCCTATTTCCCCTTCCAGAAGGAAGAGAACTTCTGGTTGCTGCTTGCAGACCCTGTTTCGAATGATGTGTGGATGTCCCAGAAGGTTAGCTTTATGGATGTAGCTACGGCTATAACTGCTGCATCCAAAGCAATTCAAGAGTTAAAGGAGGGGTCAGGCGCTAGCTTGAAGGAGATCAATGCAGCTGTTAAAGAAGCAATTGTGAAAGTGAAGAATGGCTCAAGACTGGTAATGGGAAAGTTCCAGGCCCCTGCTGAGGGAAACTACAACCTGACTTCTTACTGCTTGTGTGACTCTTGGATTGGTTGTGACAAGAAAACTAGCTTGAAGTTGAAAGTTCTGAAGCGTAGCAGGGCAGGAACACGGGGAGGTGCAATGTTGGATGAGGGACCAGCCGTGGAGGATGGAATTGAGGAAGAGGAGGAGGAAGAAGGAGATGATGATTATGAGAGTGAATACAGTGAAGATGAAGAGGATGTAAAAGACACCAAGAGAAAAGGAGCTGTGGCCAATGGCTCTGCTCATGGCAAGGGCAGTGGATCAAGCTCAGATGGTTCAGATGTTGAGGAAGATTAAAAGCTTCTTTTTTTTTTCTTTTCTTTTCTTATTGTTCCTTTTACATTAATCTTTTACTTTAAAAGAGAAAGGGGGAGATGTTGGAATGAATTTTGTTACATTTCTTTTTGATTAAACCTTTTTGATATCCCTGGGCAACCTTATCAAACAATATATAGGAACTCAACTCTTCCTGAAGGGTTGACATAGAATTGCGTCTAGCAATCAGGCACGGTGATGACTTGCCAAAGTTGTCAAGCGTGTTGCGTAGTTGATGGTGGTGCGAGATCCTCCCAATTAATTTTTATTTCAATAATTTTCCTTAGATTTTAAATTAACTATCGCGAATGCAAATAGAACTACGCTCGAGAGACTTTGGGTTCAGACACATACTTCCATGCTATTACAATCCAAATTTTGCTACTAACAATTTAAGCCAGTTTCTTGGTAGTGTCACAATAAACTCAATTTAGACAGTTAGAAGACATGGGGTAGAGAGATTTAGTTCATTGTATTTTGAGTGTCAAGAAATTGAATTGTAAAACAACTCCGCTCATGTGAGTTAAAGCTCTCCGAAGTCCAAACCCAGCAGGGACAAAAGTCTCGTGACACGAGCCAGGCCTCCATCTCTCAAACTATAGGAACAAAGAGTAAATTCTCAAGGTTTAAGATTAACAGGACCAGAAGCAATCAATTTCGCTGTTAATCCACTTACAGAACACTCCATCAATACCAAAACATCAAAAAGAACAAGTACAGTTTGCCAAGAAGTCGACCATAAATCCAGTCACATCCTCGGGCAAATTACAATGTAAGAGCCAAAGTTTTCTATCCATGCAATAGGATATGACCAATATTCCATACAATTGATTGCATGTGGTACCAACACCACTAGCAAGTAGCAAAGACCAAGCTATCCAAAAGAGAACTCACACCTTTAAGACAGTTTACGCATAACAAAATGATAGAAGTCAGATCATCTATTGTCCATTCTGTAGAACATTCCTGATCAATCTCCACTTGCACAGCCTCTACAACCGCAATGTACACATTCTATAACTTTCTCCTCCCTCAAATGCTTGGGAACTCGGCAAACGCATGTGGTCTGGAAGTTGTGATCCCGTGATTGCATGCATCTTAAACAGCAAAGTCGTTCATAGCCAGGCTGTAATTCAAACACAAACCATTATAACCCCAGCTTGACACCTTATTTATTTAAGCACTAATCACACAATTCAACAATATATATTCTACTGGAATCAAATCACCAAGAGTAGCATGACACATCTAGAATGTTGTGCTGTTAGTGAAATCCAGAACATTTCCCAATTTTGCCATGCAATTGTTTGCATTTAGCATTCATTGTTTATTGGGCTAATAACCCTTTGCATCCTGAACAATTGAAAATATCTCACTTAAACTTTTCCTCAAATTGCCCCTTCAATAATAACAGGGATATCATTAGTCGGATGGGACTGAATCAACATACAAACCCTTGCAGATCACTCAGGTCAGTGATTTCGCAATCGTTTTAGGTGCGTGGGCACGAGAAGGTGCAACTTAGAACAAACATGTAAAACTGGGGGATTTTATTAAAGTTCATGTTACATTCTTGCAGACATTCATGACATTTTCAACATTCATTGCAATGTTCTGGATTGCTACTAGGAACTTGATCAGAGTAAGAACAGTTGTTCTACATATACCCTAAATACATGATTATGCAGAGAATAAAAAGCAAAGGTCGTGAGACAAACCTTCTTCCACTTAGCGATCAGATTACGGTCAGCATACCCTTGGTCCAAGCAGAACTCAAACAGTTCCTTGGATATTTCCTTCCTCCGGTGGTAAAGGTCAAAAATGTAACGACTCTTCTGGTGAGCTATTTTGAAAATGGGCCACAACGTCTCACATTTTCTTTTACCATCATGGGGATCATTCTCAGCTGTTAAAAAATTAAGAAGAAAGACACCAGTAGTCATGCAAAATTTAGAGAACAATTTACAGCAAGCATTCAGAAGAGTTTTGTATGACATGAAATAAATCAAAACCTTCTCTCATCTTCGCTTGCAGTTCACGGAGAGTAGGCTCAATCAGCTCCCACCCTTCTGGATATTTAACACGGTTAGTCTTCACCTTGGGCATTATTCCGACTGCAATAACAATTGTAGTGACAAAAGAGGATACATAAGAAATTTGATACTTAAAAATATGCTTCCCCTAAAAATTATCCATCATCCACCATTGAAATTTTTTTCTAAAAGGGTAAAAGAGAAATACAAAGTATGATGGATATAAGCCGACTGAATCTATACAGGAGATGTTATTGACCCTAAAACATAACAAAAATCAAAATCACCACAAAACAGTAGGTCAGTCTACCTTTGCCTACTTATACAAAACAAAAGAGAAACGAAAATTTGTGACAATTGGATGTCTGTGCACCTGGAAAAAAAGGACTCAGAGCACATGAGTCATTAGATACGTCCAGTTTCGTTATTGTTTTAGATTACAATTGCTATTTTGGTTTTTTCTATCACATGGGTATTTTCTGCTCTGTTCCTGTGGAGACTCGGCTTCTGGTTCTGAAAAAAGGGGTTTTGGTTTCGGAAAATGGATGTTGTCCAGCACACAGTGAAGATCTGAGCAAGTTTAAACCATGATTCTTCATGCAATTGGCTGGTTTCCATGGCCGGCTCAACAGTATATTCAAAAAAGCATGGGCTTTAAGCCCTACATATTAAAAGGCCCCAAATTTTAGAGTTCAATAACGAAATATAGATCAATGATTAAAACTCATTATAATTTAGCTTAACCAAAAAAAACTCCTGAAACTCTAATCATATGATTTCAATTTCAGAAAAACAAAAGGAATTAAGACTCACACAGAGACTGTCATACAGAAAGATAGAGAGAGATAGAACCTGGGATGCGTGTGGCTTGTGGCTTCGAAGAGAAGGCGGCGAGAGAGGCGAGAGTCTCTGACACTCGAAGAGGAGGAGGCGCTAGGGATCAATCGACTGAGAAGAAGAAGAAGGAGAAGAAGAAGAAAAGGGCGAGAGTCTCCGAGACTCGAAGAGGAGGATGCGCTAGGAGTTTTAGGGTGTGTTTGGGTGATGTGGTTGGAGAGGATAGGATTTGCTTGTTTTATATGGTAACTCATCGGATGAAAAATTCCCTCGTCTATTTTAAAACCCTAATCCAAGATTATATCTAATTATATTTTTTGTTTGAGAAATAAATGCATAATTCAATAGATCTTATAAATTACACAAATAATTTTGTAATAATTTACCGTTCTACCCAAGACCCTATCCATTCTAATCCAAATTAATTCTATCCTATGTTTGGTTAACTCATCAAAGCCTAATAAAATTATACATTTTTCACATATACATAAAAACATATAAAAATAAAAAAAATTAAATATATATATATATATTTTTATATGTGTGTGTGTGTAATTTTTTTTCAAACAAATCAACATTTTATTTCATTTCTTAAAAATTGATTACAATGGGAGAGAGGCAAACAACTTTGCCTTAAAACAATATGATAAAGCAACCAAAACAATTTATTTTTTTTTAAAGAAAAAAAGGAATTTTATTGAATGAATATCAAAAATTACAAGAATCAAAAACATAACATTCTGTTTGAACAAAAATGCAGAAAACTGCTACAAGAACTAAATTTTCTATTTTTATTTACAAGAGAAAGGACAAAATATTAGTCTGTCAGCTCTTGCAATATACAACCACCATCTCCATGCAGCGTATCAGCAACAATCCAGTTCCATTGCGTCCAGTCATCAACTTCATTAATACCAGCACACCATATCAGCACAGATTGCTCCACATAGCAGAACACAATTGCTCAACTTACTACAGCACAGCAGACTGCTACAGCATAACAGAAATTGCCTGCATCACAAAAAAAAACTTAGCCTTTATCATCAAAAATAACCATCCTTTTCTTGCGTACAACCGACAAACCTATCTGATCTTGCATAAGCCTTCATTTCACTGAACTAGGCAAAGCAGTAGAAACAGAAAAAATAGATGAATTACACAATATAAATATCATGCTACCCACAATTGTTCCAGCAGGGCAAAGCAAAGTCATCTCATTTGTCAAGATACCAAAAGATCTCAAACACTCATTTTATCCCAATAAACATCAATGCCTCTTGGTTCTTCAACTCATTCAAAAAGAACCCCAAGAAGACCCAGGAAAAGGAAATTGATACATCAAACTTTAAAACCACCCAAATCTCCAGTAGATCTTTCAAAAGCCCCCTCATATGTGTGGTGTGATATTATTCAAATTATCACAAAGATAACTTTTCCTAGATTTTTCCAAATATATTTTAAAAATATATGTAAAATAAATCAAAAAGGTCGCCAAAAAGCTTTGAATACCATATAGTTATATGCCAATTTCCATACTCTCTATGACATATGAAATTATGAAGGGAAATACATAGGAAATGACATAAAGGCATACATTCAATTGCTCACAACTCAACATTAAATAAAATAAGCACCTTGAAAATCAACTGACCCCAAGCGAGGTGTGTATGTAAGAATGCCCTGCCCAAGGTGATCAAATAAGTAATAATAATATAAGCACAATGTTTGAACATAATGTTGGCAAGTTAAAAGTAATAAAAGCAAGTCATTTACCGGGAGAAAAAGACAATTCAATGTTAGTTGCAGATTGTATTTATAAATAGCTAGCTAATTGTCCACAGTCAAACAGTTGTGAAGAGCCAATTTCCATATGGACCAAAAGTTCTCAAAGCTTTGAGCCTTCATACTATCTGAGTAGCAAAATTCGGTGGTAGATAACATGCTCAGGCACAATGGATAAATTTATCATAAGCACACATGCCACAAATAGAGTTAATCAATGATTCCTTTCTCCAAATTATAAGAAGCTTCTCACAGTGCAAGTTGCATAGCATTTCAACTAGTAGAAGAGGTGATTAACTAACACTGTGGAAAATTAACAAACTAGATATTTTATGATGCTCAAAATGTTACAAGTATCAACATATTCATAGCCTAATTAGGCTCAAAGATCATAGAAGCATAGGAATACTATAAGACATTTTCTTCAGATCAAATCCTAGTTCCACCAAGTTCATTCCACATTTTATGTCATCATCTACAAGATACATGGTATACAAATGAAGGTAGGAATCTTTCATTAAAGCATTGACAAAAAAAATTACAAAATTAAAAAGTATGGCAATTTTTTTTTAAAAGAAATGATTAGATTATGTCACCTGTGGTGTTTCAGCAGAACGGTAGAGCACATCCATATCAAGATGGTGATTCTTAAACACTTCATTGCTCTAAGGGTCCTCAGCCATTAACAAGTTCCTGATTGAGTTTGACTCAATTATTATCCTGTAAATCCATCAAACCATACTGCTCCACCATATTAAGCCCATACATCAGCGCTCTAAATCCACCATAAGAAGCTGTGTTCTTCGTTCTGTCTAGCGATGTCGTCTTCTTCGTCGACTCTGTGAAGAAGCTCTCACCCACAGATGTAGAAAATTGGAGGACCTCTTCTTCTTCTTCGTTGGACAAAACGTGGAGAAAGAGATAGGAGCAAATACGTCTTGGGGAGGGTAACCAATTGCCTGGGTAGCTGGGTTATCTGAGGCCGGTGTATGGGGGTTCACATTCGACTGTAGCATCAGGTCAAGCGGTGGGATTTGTAGCCAATCTCAAACGTGACTTCTCAAACAAAGGTTATATGGGTCCCATTGCTATTTTATCCCATCCAAGTACTGGATAACCACCTTTAACCCACTATTCAAACACCTCCTTAGGATTTTTGTCCACACATTAACATATCTATATAATAAAGTACAACGAATTTGAATTTTGGAGACAAAGAGCGGTGGAGATCGTTTCATGCCCAAAAAAGGCATCATCCCACGGTCGACGTTATCCTAAACTGTCTTGAGCTATTGACGTCTCAGATCATCTCAAAATTGTTGATCTAACGAACGATATTCATTTATGAAAAAAAAATCCCACACAGCACAAATTCTATTTTTAATTTCCCCAAAATCACGCCCTCAATCACATGATTTATCAAAAAAAATATCACATTCTCTTCATCTATAATTTATTTCCCAATCTACAATTTTTCAAATACTCACTCTAATCTCTCACTTATTCTCTTTGTTGGTACTTATATAAGTTCAAAAAATCATTCCTTTCCTAATTGGAGGAGGTGAATTCAAAATATTGCTATGTCTTCCTTTTGAAGCCCTCCAACTTAACGCTTCAAGGATTTATTTCCAAGAGGATATTAGCACTAATTTTTCACCCACAATTCTTGCCCTAATTTTGCCCCAAATCTCAGTCTCCCCTTAAACTCTTTTATCTCCCCCTCTCACTCTCTCATCTTTCTCACGACCACTAAAATCCATCCTCCAAATACCCGACCTTTGTTAGGTATTTCCAATCATTTAAATTTGAGTAAAAAAGTTTAAAAAATTTGCTCCAACTATGCACTCGAATTTATACCAAATCAAGATAAATTAATTATTTTACTCAAATTAAGGTAGACTCAAATTTTTATACAAATCTTTAATTGTGAGATTTCACCATCTTTTAAAGATTCAATTGTCATCCTTACTCTCATTTAAATTTAGGTCTACCCTCATTTAAATTTAGGTCTCTTTTTCTTTAAATTCTTTATATCAAATCAAATATTTTATTCAAATTTTAATTTAAATTTAAGTGTGGGACGGAGATGCTCTTAGTCACCCTCCCCAAAAATCAGTAAACTCTCACTCTTTTTCGTCACTCTTCTCTTCTATTTGCCAACTCTCTTCCTCTGTCCTACATCTCTCGAATCTCTCTTCGCCATCTTTTCTCACTCTACCTATAGACCGGTGATGATGAAGCAAGTCATCACCAATGACGAACGATCCACCAATGACAAGGTATACCCTCTCTCTGTTTACCCCCCCTCCCCAAGACACACACACAACGCACACATCCACCCACACCCAACATCTTTCTATTCTCTAACCCCTCACACTCAAAATCCCTCACAACACACACAAAATACACCTCCAGTCTCTGCTAACACAAAACACACCCACTTGGATTGTTTGATTCATTGATTTTTTTTTTATTATTTCTCAACTTTGATTTATGTATATTATTTTGGGTCTCTAGGCTCTCTTATGGTTTTGTTTTTTTTTTTTTTTGCAGGCATTGCATTTCGAATGTTTGAAATAATAATTGGGTTCGAAGTTTTGATGTTTATTTCGATATTAATTTTTTGGAAAAATAGAGCTATTTTTTTTTTATTTGGAAAATAGTCTATGTCATTTCCTATGTTCAAGTAAAGGAATTGTATGTTATGCAAGATCTTGATATTGTACATATGATCTGATAACTTTTTTTTTTTTGAAATAGGTTAAATCTCAAATTGAAGAATACTTCTCTATGGTCAGTTTTATCTCTACATATCAGGTGTCATTTATTGCATTATGATTTTTTTTGGTTGTTACAAGGCTGGGAACAAAACCTAATCTTCTTTGGTTTGCTTTACATCTCAAGCTTACCAAATATTTGATGTCACTGTTATTTCTGTTTTTTTTAAAAAAGAATCAGTTCAAATAAGGATGTTGATTACTTGGTTTGCTCTTGAAAATAGGATGGTAGTTAAAATATCAAATATGTGCTGCCAGATTTTTCACCAGAATAGGGGTGTGTATTTGTAGGTTCCTTTTCCAGTTTATATTTAGTGAGAAAATTTCACTTAATGGTACTAGAAGTAAGGATAGACCTAAATTAACATTGAATGAAATAATAAAAAAAAGATATGAAAATATATAACTTATTTAATTTTTCCAACACACAATCTCATCAAATCCTTAATATTAGGTGCCTAATTTTTGTTTGAAAGTATAACTAATAGAGGAGTGGATCGGTAGAATCTCCTCTCATATCTTTATGAAGACATGGTTTGTTTTCACTGTCCAATGGGTTTTTTTGGGCCATCAATTAAGCTGCAGAAGTCACTACTCTCATGCTAC